TTCTCGACGGCTTCATGCGATACGGTAACGAGGTCTGAGGATTTGTCGTCGCAGTTGGGATCATTTGGATCATCAATGTGGAAAATATCCCGTTCGACGCCGCGAAGGAAGTTGTCACCGTACTCTCTGTGTTCGAGCCATAGTCGCAGTGTTTTCAGGTCATGTTTTGTGGGGTTCTGCAGTGCGCACAGTTCCTTGTACTGCAGTAGCGACTCGTCTAGACAGATCAGATGCTAAAGTCCGTAAAGGGTTGGAAATCCTGATGTTGGGTGGACGTACTGTATTCCCTCAACTTCACGCGGATTTTCTGTATAATGTCCCATTGCTCAGAGGGTTCATCATCCTCATCCAGACCCCGGCTCAACTCAAACCAGTTCCTTTGCGCTGCGATGCCTTTGGGGTCCTGCTTCTCTTCCTCTTCCGCTCGAAGATCTCTCAGCTCTGTCTCCAGATGAGTGATCTCCGCTTGCAAAAACAAAAGATTCTGAGCGTTCAATGATCCGAACCGACGGAAAATAGCGACCTCTGGCCATGTGCCCATCAAATTGGACAGCTTGGGATAACTGCCCATACTCCAAGACCGAGTGATACCGACTTGCGGGGTTTGCACCTCAGCTTCACTCCCTACCACTACCACAGTTTCTGGTGACGATGAAATTTTCTCCAAAGACATGGCGGGCGGGTGCCTAGGCTCTTAAGAACAACTGAATGGTTGTTGATTCCTGAGGCACGAAGTGGCAATTCCAGCCTTTTGTGCCATTGTTGAGTGCATCTCACCTGGGCTGAAAGTTGTGTGGCGGAGCGATATGCAGCTGAATGCACAGCCCGCGGCACTACACGAGAGAGCCGCATGAGGGGCTGAGACGAGACCTGGCCATTGACACGTACAAAACCCTGGCAGCCGAAGAAGCAAGGCTTGCCAGATGTTCAGGCTTATGTGCTCACCAACAGTTGCTCGCTTTGCCACAACCTCTGTCGCGCAGGAGAGGGCATTCAATCCGGGTTGTCAGCTAGCTTGCTGATACAGTCCGTCAGCGTCTGAATCTGCTAACTTATACACCTCGGGCCCCCCTGGCCCGTAGGTGCCTGTGCCCACGCGGATGGCGCCTCATCGCGGGGCACGCCTCCGCGCCTGGTCAAACTCGGTCTTTGGCCGTGACCCTTCACCTAACCAGGACAAGACAGCAAGCGCTCTGCATCACCTCGCATCGGCAGGTCTGGATCTTATTATATCGCCTACTGAGGAGGAAGCATGGGCCGAGCAGGCTCGAAATGCAGCCTCAACGGTCCTCCAGGAGCTGGAAAAGGTTTCCAGCCTTGATCCTTTGAAGCCGGGCCAGCTGCCGCGAAGAATCACGATAGAGGTTAATGAGCTTTCCTAGAGCAAATATGCCCCATGCTGACGCCTCTCACAGGTCGTGGACGATGCTCAGTCCGAGAGTGGAGTCCATCCTATCACGGGGGTAGACGATAATCCCTTCGATACCCAAGGACAGATGGAAGACGACGAAAGCTACTACGATTTTGAGGAGGACATTTATATCGTCAAAAATGAAGAAGGCAAAATCTTCAGCCGAGCGATGATCGATACGGGCATGGATGGGAATGCAATCAGCGTCGAAAAAGCCAAGCTGACAAACATACCGATCGAACCATGGACTGGGGGCAAGCTTCGTGATGCTGACGGAGAGCCGTTCGAGCCAGAGGGCTTGCTGAAAGCGCAGTTCCATTTCAGTGGGAAGATGCAGACAAGCCGGAGTTGGCAGGTCGAGTTCATGGTCTTACATGATCCTCCATTCGACGTTGCGATTGGGAGGCAGTTTATCAATTCTGCGAGGCTGTTCAAGAAGAGCGACGTTCTACTTCCAATCGTGGTCAACAAGCCAAAAGATCCGAAAGCTCAACAAACAAGCAATCTGAACGCGAAGCGAGATAGCGATCGCCAGAAGCAATTGGAGAAAGAGCGAAAAGACCTAATCCGCCAGAAAGAGAGGGAGAAGGCAACGAAGAAGTGATCGAGGAGTGGCCGGACGGTGCAGCAGCTTTCCACATATTGGACGCCGGCGATGGGTTTGGGTTCTTACGTGACCAAAATGGTGCTTCGCAGCCAGTCTTGCAACGAAATATACGATCGTCTTCGATGTCGTGGGATGCTCTAAGCGGAGTCTGCAACTCGGCGATCTGAAGACACTGACAAGGTTCAATTCTGAGCCACGGCCCGAAAATGCGAGATACAAAATGGCGAACACTTGTTGCAGGATATGCGATCAGGCTGAAATTTGACTAGATGTGGCTGAAACTTGCACGGCGTGAAATCGACCGAGCGTGAGCAAGTGAGAGGTGGGGAATGCCAAGGAATCCTCAAGGCGCTTGCACGTGACATCATTTGTTTTGGACTCCACGATGCGGGGTGAAACAATCATGAACAATGTAATTCTTCACTTGCCGGACGCTCGAGGTTAATGGCTGAAAGGGGACTAATGTCGCGTCAATGCGAAAGCCGAGGGCTCCTTAAGTCCCTGTCATGAGGCTGATTGGTGGGTGCTTTCAGAGTTCGATAGAGTTTGCATGTATCTTGATCGATCCCAAATCGAATCCTTCAGAAAACAGAGGTATTTAATTTTGCAGATCAAGCGTGCTGGATTACCCCAAATGGATTTCAAGGCGTCACCAGCAGCTCGAAAGGGTGCTCCTGATTTACCTCTCTCAGGTTTGATTCCTCTATGACCAGGAGCCTTGTCGAGGCCCGGATGAGGGAGGGCGAGGGCGTGAAATCTGCCCAGATACAACCTAGCCGTGAAAAGAAGTCTCGCACTGCTGCCCGAAGTTAAACATTTTCCCGCAAAGATACACTGAAGTGCTGGCTCATTCTTAATATCAATCGTTAGTTCCTTCTAAAGTGGTTCTTCCCGCTAACTCTCGCTCTTGTAAAGACATACTTTGTTTCCCGCGTTCTTTCTAGCGTTACTATGCTAAGCCTTGTACGACGAACTCAGTGAACCATGTGGGAAGGATGGGCATTTCGCCTACTAGCCGAATCCAAAAAGCACACGAGAATAATAGCCTTTAATGTTAATTCAAAGCTGAAATGAATCACTAGCTTTCGACACCTAGTTATGAGAAGTTCAGCTCCTTTGTTATTACGTAGGTCCATGGGTCCTAGAATGTAAGGATACCTAGGTATGCTTCCGTGCATTCACTATACCGAACCTTAAAACCAATTCCGGTTCAAATTCATATAGAGGAATATTCGTCTAGAAAAATTCTAGTCTGATCGTTGCGCTGGTGCCTTCGCTTGTGCGTTCTATGAAAATAGTGAGTATGAGAATGGATATCGAGATCTGAAATCGTGACTTGCTATCTCCCTGGCCTGATAGTAGCAGTTGTCGAGGCCGAATTTCCATATAAGTTTACTGCCGTCGTATCTGCTCCAGCTTGCACCAGACCGCCCACATCAATGCTGTGAACCCCCTAGCACCGTGTATGCCATTGTTGGCGCCGGCATTAATCTGAAAGCTGCAAGCCTTACCATGGCCATGACGTGCTACTATGCGATCATAGCAGTCTCCTCATTTCCATTGACTGAATTAAGATCAGCGCCGGCTTCTTGCAGACCCCGTATGGCTTCGATTCGCCCTCTGCCGTCTGGAAACTTTAATCCTTTTGTCTACACGGTGACGCATCTTGCGGCCATACTATGACGACATAGAACTGACTCACTCAGGTACTTTGCTGCGCAAACGTAACTAGCTCGCGAAAAGCGTATCGTATGGATGGCCAATGGACAAAGTAGATTTGTAAGGGGATGGCTTCCATAACGGGTCCTCTCCAAACAAACAGACCTTCCGCAGCCTGCTATCCATAGCATGATCAGCATCCGGTTTTGGTCCCGCACCACACTGGGTGCGAACTGAGATGGTCGTCCGCGAGGGTCGACGAGGGACGCTGTGAGCTGACCCATAGATTGCCTTTGAGTTCAGCATCATGTAAGACTGCCGTACTGTACATGTCGCTTGGGCCAGTGCATTCATCAAGGGTGCCAAAAGCAATCATCAAAAAGAGGCCCGGGCTCCGGAAACTAAACGCTGCTAAAGACGTAAGCCTCGGGTAGTGAGCCATTGGTACCGCACCAGAATGCTCCCAGACAGCTTATCGAGACTGTTAGCATACCACCGCGCAGAAACAAACGATTGGGGTCACTAGAATCCAGCATAGCGAAAGACTCGCATACTGTGGCTCCCACAAAAAATACCTAAAAGTCTATCTCGATCGACGCGAAAGCGCACCGCTGTGGGCCCGGCAGTATCCAAGCGAATACGTTCACATGTAATACGACGAGCGACGGAAAGATGAAAGTTAGATGGCACTTCTAGTCGCGGATGTGAGGGGTGCTGCCCTCGGAAACCCACTGGTTTACCGTGCAGAGCTTCATTGCATGGAATCTCTACAGTTCAACGCAGCGAGTTGCAGGGAAATTTCCATCGAATTTGACAGTCAATGCCGCCGCTTTTGGAGGATTTCTTCCCTCAATGCCAAGATCACTGTCACTAGTCTCTTTCCACATCAGCACCCAACCTCGGTGGTCTTCCAGATTTCCTTGAAGTCTGCCTCGTTATATGTGCGAACCCCTTGAAGCGGCGCTTACTGAGGCGAGACTGCAGCCAATAGTACGGATTGACTACCTTCTGGCCCCGCACCCAACTGCAGGAACAGTGCGCAATGGAACACCCGTGTTTCTGGACCCCTTTTCTGGCTACGAGCACAGCCTTGTGGACGATATGTTGGTACTTAAAGGTATTTATCCTTCAAACCTTTACACACACATATGTTGGAAGTAGTTTATCTGAGAAGGATCTTGAGACCCTGCGATACTAGCGGCGTTCAATTATGGCATCGGTAGGCGAAAGTTAGAAGACAGCACCAGAAGACATACTACACTACTCGTTTGAGCTTCTGCCTCCTGTGCGCCTTACAACATGGAGACCAGGCGGCTGCCAAAGATGTCCCCTACCAAGCAAGAGGCGGCTATGCTAACCATAATTGATGCTCAACTGTGCAACCTCGCAAAGCGTTCTCAAAACCCAAAGTTTCCTTCTCAATCTCGCCCCGGCGAGGAATTTGAGACATCATCCACGGAAAGCCCTGCGGAAGCAGATGGGTGCTCCTCTACAAAAGCATCAAAGAGTCCGCAGGCAATGCCTGCGAAGACAAAACGGAATATCTGGTTCAGCACTCTTGCTCTGCTCATATATACGAGCGCCTTAGGTCAGTTGCTAACGGTTGGATGGCCTTTTTTTTGAGGCTTCATGTTGCGATATGCTAATTTCATAATCTCAGCTCTCGCCGCTGCCGTCACCCATCTCGCTATGTTCCTTTATCTCCACGGCCGCCTCGTCGATGATGGCATTCCTCAGGCCTATGTCTCCACAATCTCTGCGGCTCTTACCCATCTCTTCTCCATGGGCTTTAGTACCTGTATGGCAGTCGGTATGGCTCAAGCACTCTGGTATTATCTACGAAAGAAGCCGCTTCCGATCCGAACAGTCGACAATCTGTTTAAACTGTTGCAAAATCCGCTGGGTGCTCTGGATCTGACAATACTACTTACAGCCCCTTTCATGGTTCTTTTCGCGGTTGTATTGCTTATCTTGCGGATTGCGGTCATCTTTCCTCCAGGTGCATTGGTCATCGCTCTTGCAGAGTACGAGACCGTCAGAGCCTACAACGTCAAGGTCGCCGACTATTCTCAACCTCCAGCATACCTGTCATTTTCAAATGGCACGTGGCCCGCTAGCCACGACGGTCTCACTACGGCAAATGGAATTTGGCGGACGCTCCTGACCTTGAGCGCGGACTCGATGTCGATTGACTTCGACACAGATCCATTAACTGTCCCATTACGGTTATACTCGTCGTCACCCTGTGGTCCGGACTGCAGATACGAAGTAGAAGCAGCTCTCCCTTCTGTCCAATGTGAGCCTGGTCTTAGTCTAGATCTCATACAGCACTTGCATCAGACTGAGAATGTCTACGACATGGATTACGAGTCGTTCTCTTCGCTCAATTTCAGCTACATGGCAGTTTCACACATAAAGAGAGAGGATATTCACGGCCAGATGACATATACACTCAGGTTTGATGTATCATTCGGCGCTAGGGACTCGCTGAACTACACGTGCAGCATCTTCTCAAACCGCGCCCGATTGCAGCTTTCATGGAGTCCAAAGGGTAATTCGGTCACGGTGCTTTCAAGATCCAGCAAGATATTTAATGCGTCAATGTTAATCGATCCCTTCTACGTAAAACCATACCTCCAGGCAGGGAGTGAAAGTGCAACACCGCAATTGGCGGAGTCTGGAGCATCTTCATTTCCGACAAATTTTGACTGCCTGGCCCAGTCATGGGATTGCAAAGCACTATCCGAGTTTTCAGGTTATTTGCAAATGCTTCAGCCCTCCTCAGGATGGGTGAGCGCGAATCCAAACGCGACCACGGCCTTACCCATAGGTACTTGCGAGGATCCAGTGCGCCTTGGTTTTCTTACTGATATCAGACAAACCGAACGGATCTTCTGGAACGCGAGCGTCCAACAATTTGTGCACATTAACCTCGTGTCGCATGCGCTGGTCAATGCGACGACCGTTACTCACGCTAACACCTATCAGTTCGAGAAACGCTTGAACCTCTATTTGCCCTACGGTACGAGTCTCGCCGTGTCCGCCGCCCTCCTGGGGCTCTCAATCTTCTTTCTCAACGACAACGGCTTCGGCGGCGGCGCAGGCTTTCTTCACATCCTGTGCAACACTGCAACCCTCAACTCTCGCATAAGAGCATTAGCCTTGCAAAGCGCTGGTCGCGACGCAGCAGCTAGACCTGCAGAGCTTCTGGAGGAAAGAGTCAAGTTTGGCATTGTGCACTGTGAGGACGGAGTGAGAAGGGTTGGCTTGGGCGTAGAGGAAGACATTAATATCTGAAGATAGCCATGCTTGGGATGGGTGAGGATAAAGCTTGGAGTGGTAAAGAAGAGTCACGCTCCTTCACTAGTTCATACCGTGTTGGACAAATGGGATTGTAGGAGCTCGTGTTAAATGAATGGACTGGGCTCTGGCAATAGTGGAAAGTGAGCGGCATATATCGTTTTCTGTCAGAACTGCTACTTCCTCGGCGATACAGAAGTTATGGGATTCCTTAGCTGAAACTTCTGCATTTGGCAGCGCCTTCCGCTTGCGATTCTGGGCCGCTAGCAACTGTGCGAACATGTCGTGTACCAATGACATGAAGGGACGCGTTTGATGATTATTCTTGGACACTTGTCACTCCACCACTCTGCATCCAGCTAATATCGTGCGTGATGCTGCGTTTGACAAGATCCATCGCCCGCTGCGGCAATGCGAGAGCGGCCTTAGTCACGTCTAGTTCGGTAATATCACCCATCAATGTCCAATCAGTGCGTCGTAAATGTTTGCTGTTCAGCGCATCCTCCTCTGAAAAAATTCTGTTGAGGGTAGCGCTATTTAGAAACATTGCATGACTGGCACCCCCATGAAGCATCACCAGAGTGTTGGGAAAGTTGCGATCTAGAACTCCTCGATCGTAATCATCGATGCAACAAAGATCGGTAACAATCTGATCGCCGTATGCATCCGCAAACTCACAAACACACCCAGGCGATCTCGGCCTTTCGGTTATATTCGACTTCTTTGCATCCATGCCGGGTTTGATATTCGATAGGGTAGCCAAGCCCGTGATAAATATATGAACATGAGCATCGTGAATGCCAGGCATCATAAATCGGGACTGTAAGTCACACGAGGGCTGATTTTCGCGATGCGCTATATTGAGGATCTCATTATTGGTGCCAACGGTCTGAGAAGTGCCATTTAGGGATTCGATGAAAGCTTCAGCTCAAGTGCCATCAGCAGTAAAGATATCGCCCGAGTAGTAAGCACACGCCTGTCGACGAGTGGACTGTGCTGCCGTGGTTAGAAGCACTGATTCTGGACATGTTTTGAACAAGAATTAGCAGAGTCTGTCGGCTACAGCGACTGATATTCGATCTTGGCGACCATCTCCGTGGCTTTCGCAGTTCTAGAACAAATACGAGGTGCTGGAAAAGCCTATGACCCGATTTTATCTCAGCGAGACGGAATAGAGGCATTTCAGCTGCTCTGATTCTCAGTTACCCATTGCGTAGCGTGGGTCCTGATAGTAGGGGTGCGAAGGCATTGGCAACGCGGCAGGAACCTAGATAGCGGGAGGGTTATTGTCTATGACCGAGAAAAGGTGGGGGTTGGAAGAAGAGAGACGTTGAAGAGAGAGGAAGGAATTCGCGAGCGGGGGCCTTGTTCGGAGCTAGGACGCTGTGGGACAAAGAGGACTTGTGTAAGTGTAACAGGCGATATGGTATTCATGTGCCTACAAAGGAGAGTGTCTGACAGCTAGCTATCTGTGCAACCGACGCCAAGGCGCCAAGGCTCCACAACGTGGAGGTAAATGGTCCAGGCTCGGAGGCTCTTGACGGCTGAAAAGGGACTAGTGGCAAAGGCCCAGGCGGACCTCTGAGCCAGCTGCCATCCGTGAAGTCGACATGGTGGGCGCGTTCCGAGCCCACTCCAGTATGCATCTATTCCTATCGAACCGCAATGAAACACCTCAGAATTCCGAGGTTTACTTCTCTGGTTTGTGAGGGGGTTAATTTACTGTACCCCTGAGCATCACACAGAGGACCGAGGGGCCTAATCTGGCGCCCAAGCGATCGGTTAAACCTGCCTCTCAGCAGACATCGTGTTGTACACAGAGTGAGAGTGGATCTATTTGCTTGATTGTGTCCTCCTTCTGAGAGACTCTGGCTATCTATATACTATTTGCACTGTGGCAACAAGCGGTCCGCTGAATAGATCTGGACCTGGCCAGATCTGTCCAGGCCTCGTTATTGACCAACGGTGGCACCGAGGCTGTTATAGAGAGGCATCGGTTGAAACATTGGTGGATTGGTTGGTTTGCAACAGTGGCGTTCTGCTGTCAACAGGTAAGCTCTCCCACAATGACGAGTGGTCCTGCGTTTCAATTGAGCCGAAACTCCAACCTCTCCGATGAGCCAATCTGGGCCCTCCTGAGATTGAATGTTCGGGAGCTTTATTGACTCTAGGAATTGTTGGAAACCTGTCCTACCCATGTGGCACGTGCCATGCCCGTGCAGCGAGAACGGTCATGCAGCAGCTCGACCAGCCTATATCAAAAAACGTCTCATGCATCTGAGAGCAATGATTAGAGTGTCGGTGTGTGGAGACACGAAGTTGCGAAGCTTTCCATAATGGTTTATTCCGCCAGAATATCGAAACCTCCCGCCATTTCGAGAAAGTACGCAAAAGTACACTGGATCCTTCTACTCGACGTTAGCCGGAGCGATAAATCACGATCCAGAGATGCTCACAGATTCAATCTGATTCTTCGCAAAATGCAGTCCACCCTCTTCTGCCGATGCCCGAACTGCTTGTACTACTCTTGAGGCAGTAGTGCAATACTGTTACGTAAAGCCAGTCTCGATGAATTAGTTGGATGAATAATGGACCACCACTATCCAAGACCACAGCATGCTCAATGGCTAAACCCAAGGATGAAGGCATTCCTCATGAAGCAAAATTGATGAACGTTCCTGAATCTGTTTGGCAAGACGATCTTCAAAACAAACATATCGATTCCAATAATAAGCCGGAAAGAGTCCTGTTCGTTGGCCCTTGAAAATTTGGAGAGATACTTTGAAATCTTGGCGCCGCGTTCGGGCTCGACCTAAGTCTTTATATCATGGGCAATCTAGAGTTCGTGATCTTCAACCGCTATAGATCGGCATCACCGTTCCAGAATGGAACCGCTTGTAAAGCAATAATACGATACTGGCAAAGTCAGGAGCTTGATCGGACGACCTAAGCCGCGTCGTACATCATGATTGCTCCTGTTGTCCAAATGAGTGGATTGAGCAGTGCTCTGACCAGATGCCCTCCAACCGGGCATCTGTCTGATATATATACATGACAAATGAGTGGGTTGAACTGCCTGAACAGGCAGTCTGAGCGAGCGACAGCAATGCTAGTTGGATGAATCCAATCCAGCTGGGGAAGTGGAGCCAATACCGGCTCGTATTTGAGGTTAGTGGCTGACGAGGTTCTACAAGGCTGTCATTAGCGGCTCGTCGACAACCCGTTGGTGTTGTTTCACACTCAGCCTACTCAGGATCATTGTTGTTGCCAGGCCCACAGCTCCCTCCAGGTTCCAGGTAGTCTCGCGTGTTCTCCATCCAAGTTGATCTAACATTTCTGAAAACCGGTCAACTCAATCCCCCATGGAAATATCATAGCGCTCGTATAATCATTATGAGTGAGTTTCTTCGCATTCGGATCTTTTGCCTTGCTGACAATTTTGAAAAGAAGTCTAGTGTAAAGGCAAATGCTTGCAAAGCATGGGGAGATCATTGATCCTGCCATTTTCCAACAAGGGATGCACTGACAGTGATGAGTAAAGTCTTGACCTCCCTCGCTCACATTGTCTTCGAGTTCAGATCGAACAAAACATCCGGTGATTCAGCGGCTCTTTGCGGAAAGGCATGAATTACCCATTCGCACGCCTCACGCAGCTGGGATTCGGCTTGGGGATGGACGGAACAGCATGCGATGCTGCTACCATTCTCACTGTTGCTTCCAGGGCGAACTTTGCTTGACCGACTGAAGGGGCCACATGGATTACACCACCGACTCTTCCATAGAGCTTGCGAGTTTTGAAGGGAGAAATCATAGGTCCAAGTCAAGATTAACGCGGACTTGCAGACCAATCACAAAGCTCCTCCCCAGCAACATCTCCAGCCAGTTCGGGAATAGTTCCTGGTCACATCATAAAGACTTACTCATCAATCAACTTCCACGTTCTTGTTGTGCCAGAGAGCAGCTTCCCCAGTGCAAAGCTGCATTATTCAGCAGCAAGAAGGCCAGTCGAATCATCCCGGGCTCGGAAGAATTTTCACCAAGCGCCGCGAGACGGGTCGCAGTGGTCTCTGTGTATCGCCGCGAGAGAAGTCGACTTCTGCTGCGTTGTCCAGTTCAACGCGGGCATTGTCAATGTTGCTGATCATTGCTTCAATGTGGTCGAGCCGATTGGAACATATACCTTGATCAATGTGCCCGACAAGAGGCTGAAATCACAATGCGACTTCAGACTGTTTGGTTGAATCCTTCGGTGTGGTTTTCACGATATGTGGCTCGAACACACACGTCTGAGGAACGGGTACAATTCCCAGCAGCAATGGTGGCGACTCTCTTAGATTACATACCCTTTTTCTATCTTGCGCTGCTCTCCCTAATTGGATTCTCCTGGTCATCTACCCGGGAGTCATGAAAGCAACCTCGGAGCCGCACTCCATTGCCTCTTAACGGCGTCTTTCAGCGCCGGGAAGACGGAACAGACCAAGCGCCGTCTACAGTTAAACTGGCCAGCGGGCGGGCGGCATGCATCCTGCAAGACTACCCAATAACGCTGAGAGCATCTTTGTCTCTAGTAAAGAACAGGCACGTATCACGGTATGTTTGATTGGTTCGCAGAAAATAGTCCTGAGTCAAGTGCTACGTAAGCAGGCCTCTGACGGCGCCAGCAGGAGCGGTCCAACCAATGCAGACCCATGCGAGGTATAAAGTGGCTACCGATGCATTCTCAATTGGGCCACTTGGACCGATCACTTACCAAAAGCTCGATCCTCGGAAAACTGCTAGGAATGTGAAGGTGATGATTGGCATCCTGGTGGTCAAGGCCACATGCTGCCCCGGCTCCACATATATGCAGGGTCAATACGGAGTACGGAGTACGAAGTACAATTATGAAGACCTCCCCAGTGATTGTGGTCTTCTTCCTCAGAGCTGGACTCAGCGAAAGATGGGCAGTTGTACAGGTCTCCAACAACGGGGTCTGAGACGGCAGGGAAGTCACTCTGTAAGATACGCCCTGTCACCCTTACTTGGGAACGGTCCTCCTCATACGTGTATCGTGCTAGAGTAGTCGAGGAAGATCTTCTGGTCGCCAATCACGTCAGTCTGAGATTGACGACAATATCAGAAGACTGCAAAATCAGGTTGCCGAGCTCAGGATGGAGTGTAAAATTCTGCAGCAAGCACGAGATGACTCTATCCTTGTGGCCGCGCAGATGATCAAAGAGATTGAACGCTTGGAGAACGTCCTCAAGTCTGTACTCCAGCAAAAAGAGGGAGCTTCGAAGGACGACTCGCCTTGAAGAAACGACAGACGAGACTGGCACTGACCGGATCTTTCCTTCAGATGCGGTATTGCATCTGCCATCGATCCTTGGTAAGCGGAAGCCGAGAAAGCCAGATCTACCATTCACTGGAGCAGCCCGTTCTGTTGATGCCTGCAAACGTATGCAATAGAACAGCCACTCTTTCGACTTGAAGCCCCTTTACCGTTGGCTTTGCGGAGCTCAAAAGCGGTTCCTAAAAAGGAACTGGGTGGTCGTCTCTTGGGTTGTAATGTGCGGGACTGGTTCATAGGCGAACTCTGGAGTTCCACGGCATAGGCGTGGTAGTGGCATTCGGAGGTTGCCAGTGTTAACAGAATTCGTCGAGAAGGCGATGAGGACGAGGCATACGTGGTCGTTTTCACCCAGCAACGGGGAGACCCGTTTGAGGACTCTTCAAACCGAAGAATTGCCCGAACCATCCCGTCTATTGCTCCCGCAAATGGGCCCTTCACAAATCAAAGTGTCTAGGGGCCCGTCTGTATGCTAGACG